CACAATCCCCAAAATTTTTGAGTACCATGGAAAAAAATTTATACTATCATGATACAAAAAAATATGTACATATACATTAAAAAAAATTGGAATTTGTAATTTTTTCTTGCATGATACACAAAAAATCAAATATTAATACAAACAAGAAAGCGACACAGATGCACTAAAACATGATAGTAGCATGAAAAAACAGTTCAGGCAATACCATTTATTGAGAGTGTAATTTTGACCAGTATGGGCCTTCATAGAGATGCCAATTAAACCTTTCAGTGTTGTGTGATTTTTGTAATTGTTAAATAGTTCCCCATTAAGCTGTAAACTGCTTGGCATTTGGCAGCGTACCTCATTGCAGTCAATAATAACCCTTGTTGCTGAGTATTTTGCTTTAAAACCTTCTGGCATGGTGTTGTCAATTACTGTTCTTGAGGGCCATATATTAATCTGAGCAAATTTAAGGTACATAAAATTGACCCACGACATAACAACTCGGCTCACTGTTGATAATGAAATATGGAACTGATTACTCAGGTGCTCTTCAGCAAAGCCTTGTCTTAGACGACACATCACTAAGAAAAACTCATCAATTGCCTTAAGAGCTCTTGGTCGTCCTTTTTCTGATTTACTGTAGTGTTCGTTGTCGTAAATATCAAGTAAAGGTTCCTTGGTATTTAAAGATGTCCAGTACCTAATGTTTTGACCATATTCGCCAGGATCAAGGAAGTCAAATACTGTTTTAAACACCTCAAAGTCAGGAAATCCGGTGTAAAAGCTGATCGACGATGAGTTGGAACGAAATCCATCAACATTGAATAGTTTAGCTTTCAGTGCATCAGTCTGTTTCATAAGTTTAACAATCTCGGCTTTCAAACCAGCAATCTCTTTTTCCATTATTTCAATTAAATCGTTATGTTCTGTTTGAGATTCTTTGTCTTCGAATACTTTGTCTTCAGTCTGAGTTGTATTTTCAATGACCGAAGTCTCGTCCGTTTGAGTTGATATTTCTTGGTATGGTGGCTGTTCAATCGATTCCAAATTATCTTCATTCTCGCTAACAGCCTCTGAGATATCGTCAAAACCTGTTGCTACTAAATGTCTGAATGGCGGGGGCTTTCGTTTACGAGGAGACGTGCGCCACGAAAATACTGAAGGAACGACTCCAGGTTTGAGATTTATCTTACTTCCACCTAGCGATCTCTGAAAGTCCTCCGTTTTAAAATGCCTCGAGCATACCTTAGTGGATTTACTTATCTGAAAGTTTTTCCCTTCATCTCTCCTGATTGCATGACTCCACTGTTTTCGTAGAGATTTATCAGTAGGGAAAATAAAATAAGAAATTTTTTTACCCTCTTCAAGATAGCCTTTCTTGGTGCAGCCGGGAACACAGCAGTGCGTAGGCATTGTTTCGACGAAAAAATTTGCCCTGAAATAATCACCATTTCCCAATCAATCGAAATCTTGAGTTGTTCACATTGTGATTCAGTTTTTCAGCGTGGATTTTTTCAAATTCGAAGCGTTATGAAGGATGTACTAATAAAACTTCCAAACTTTGACAAGTTGATCGCGCTACACGTGAAAGATATTTGTTTTGATCAGGCCTTTGATGCCTCGTTTCGATGCACTCGTTACCAGTTTTCCAACTCCGGTCGCACTGTGCCGCCATTTTTGAAAGCCGT